TTTAGGGGTTTTTATCATTCAGTCCATCCCTAGGTGGAGATAGAATTTTCTAAGGGTGGATTGATGCCAAATTCACGAGTCAAATGTAGTTTATAGAGGGTTACTAGTAGCCTATGAGGGAAAATCCCTAGATTTTATCAGTAAAATCAGCATTTTAAGGTGTGTCTTCATTGCTTTCTCTTTAGGTTTCCCAGTGCCAGAGCATATTCTTCATGAAGTTGCTGTTTTGGGTTTTTTTTATTCAACTCAACAGTTGTGAATTAAGATTTCTTAGTAGCAGAGGAAATATCGCAGTTTGGTTTGCTTGGCATTGAAGAAATCTTGAGGACAAAATTCCTGGCCTAAGCATTAAGTTGGTTAGATATTTGTTATGTTGGGAGCCTTCGGAGCCTCGGAGGGAAAAAAAAAATGAAAAATACATTTTTCATTCCCTATGGTTGACGGGATTTGCAGCGGTCACCGAAAATCTTGCCAGGATTTGCACAACAGTCACCTAAAATATTGCCAGGATTTGAAGCAGTCACTGGAGAGCTTGTTGGGATTTGAAGTGGTTATCGAAGATCTTGTCAGAATTTACAGAGATCACCTTTTATGGTGTATTTTTTCTCTTTGGATGTATTTTATAATTTTTACCTTTTTATTTAATGAAAGGGTAACATAGTCATTTTATCTTTTTTTTGTCAAGATTTAACGGTTTTGTCTATTGTCAGAAATATTCAGTGTAATTCAAGTAATTTCTTAAATAGTAGGATAGGTTTGTGTCTATTTGCTAAACCATAAGGGTAGTTTAAGTATTTAACCCTTATTATTATGGGAAAATTATAGTCTTAGCCGATTCAACATTTAAAATGACACTACAGGTTGTTTCAAAAACCAACAAAACTCTAAGAGTCGGTTGTACATTTCAAATTATAAAAACCCCCGCCATCTCTCTCTCTCTCTCTCAAAGATTTTAGCTTTAAATCCCATCATGTCCAACATGGATTATTTGAAAATAAAAAAAAAGGGTTTTCACTTTCTCTCCCACTCCCTTTGTCCTTTAATCTCCCTCCAACTCTCTCACTCGGGCAGTTGTTTCTCCTTGCTCAACGACTGTGTGATTTGAGAAAAAAATTTTACATTCTCTCAGTCAATTTCTCTAGTTCTTTCCCTCTTTGTTAATTTATTGTTTTCCCTCAATCTCTCTCAATTTTGTTTCTCATTTAATCTCATTCTCCTTCATTTTCTCTCTTGGTTGATCTCTCATTATCTTTCATTCTCTTTTTCGGTCGATCTCTCCTCCTTCAATCTTTATCATTCTCTCTTAGTTTCTTTCATTTTTTTTAAAATTTTTTACACACTTTATACGGTATTTGTTGGTATTGAAATAAAAGATTCAAGCTGAATTGCTCGTATTAATAAAAGGCAGACTTACAACTTAAGTCGAGATAATCTATACAACATAATGTTTATTAACAACATGTGCAGATTTTTAAGAACATAATTAAAACAAAGTGGTGAACATCCTCAACCACAATTCCTACAAACTAGTACACTTGACTTGGTCTTTGATAAAACTTAACTACATCCTCAACCACAACTCCTACAAACTAGGACACTTGACTTGGTCTTTGATTTACCATGTCAATAAAACTTAACTCTTAACACTCTCCCTTAAACTGATTTCTGCTGAAACCCGTTTAGGATTGGTCTTTTTCTTTTTCTTGATTAATGCTTCGAATAGAACAAATTCCAAGCATGTTTCTCAGTTTTTCAAACGCTGGTTGCCTTAATGGCTTAGTCAAAATATTTGCAACTTGTTCTCCACTCTTACAATATTGCAGCTCAATCTTTTCATCTTTGCAAAGATCTCTTAGAAAATGAAAACGAACATCAATATGTTTACTTCTCCCATGCATGACTGGGTTTCTTGACAGCTTGATAGTTGACATGTTATCACAATAAATGATTGTTGGACCCTTTTGCTCATCACCAAGTACTTCAAACATTTTTCTAAGCCATAAAGCTTGACATGAGCTTGAGGCTGCTGCTACAAACTCGGTTTCAGTTGTGGAAAGTGTCACTATATCTCGCTTTTTTGAGAACCATGATATCGCACCAGAATTAAGCATGAACACGTGACCACAAGTGCTCTTGCGATCGTCTACATCACCTGCATAATCACTATCTGTATAGCCAACAAGATCAATACCATTTTTCCTTTTGTAAAACACACCATAATCAATTGTACCTATCACATATCTAAGGATTCTTCTAGCTGCATTTAGATGCATCTCAGATGGCTTCTCCACGTATCTACTAATCAAACTTACTGCATACATGATGTCAGGTCTCATGGAGGTTAAGTACATGAGACTACCAACGATTTGCTTGAAATAAGTTTTGTCAACCTCCTTGTCACCATTATTTTTGCACAGCTTTAAACCAGGTTCAGTTGGTGTTTCAATTGGCTTGCAATCAGCCATTTTAAATTTTGCAAGAAGTTCTTGACCATACTTCTTCTGGTAAATGAAATTATCAGCAGTAGTTTGAATGACTTCCAATTCCAAAAAATAACACATTAATCCCAAATCAGTCATTTCAAACTCCTTCATCATAGATACTTTAAACATATCAAACATCTTGATATTATTACTGGTAAATATCAAGTCATCAACATATAAACACACAATGAGTATATAACCTCCTTCTTCAGTCTTCACATAAAAAGTGTGCTCAAAAAGACATTTTTGAAATCCCAACTTGGTAAAATGAGCATCTATGCGACTGTACCAAGCTCGCGGTGCTTGTTTCAGTCCATAAAGTACTTTCTTTAATCTATAAATCTTCTTTTCCTTTCCTTTCTTCTCATAACCGAGTGGCTGGTCAATGAACACCTCTTCTTGCAAATTTCCATGCAAGAAAGCTAACTTTACATTTAATTGAAAAATAGGCCAAGAGTTTTGAGCTGCTAGTGAAATCACCAACCTGATTGTATCTTATCTAGCAATTGGAGCAAACACTTCCTTGTAATCAATTCCATGCTTCTGCTTGTAACCTTTTGCTACTAGCCGGGCTTTGTGCACCTTTTTCATTCTACTTTGTCTTGTAAACCCATTTGACACCAATGGTATTTTGTCCTTTAGGCAGATCAGTCAGCTCCCAAGTGTGATTTTTCTCAATGGACTCGATTACTTTGTCCATTGCTTCCCTCCATTTCTTCTCTTTTACAGTCTCGTCATATGTGATTGGATCGTTGTCTACAAACAATGCAAAATGAGCATTATCATCATCAGAACTTGAATAACTTACATCGTAATCCATCATCCATGCTGGCCTCCTTCATGTGCTTTCATCCCTCAAGTTATAACCCCTTTCTTCTTCTAATTGTTGATGAGTTTGAGCCACAGGTTGAAATGATTGTTGCTCTTGGATTTCAGACTGAGATGATGATTGCTCTTGGATTTCAGGTTGAGGCTGCACTTGGATTTTAAGAACTTCTATCTCATCATCTAAGACAACATCATCAAGTATTGGATTTGAAATTGAATTGCCGTCAGTCCAATTCCATTTGGAATCTTCATAAAAAATTACATATTTTCTTATTACCAACTTCTTTGTCATGGGATTAAATAATTTGTAAGCTTTTGAAGATTCACTTACCCCAATAAACACACATTTTTTACTCTTGTCATCAAGCTTTTTCCTTCTTTCATCAGGTATATGTGCATATGCAATGCATCCAAATACTCTGAAGTGCTCAATTGAAGGCTTCTTTCTACACCATGCCTCTTGAGGTGTCATATTCTTCATTGCAAAAGTTGGACTTCTGTTTAGAACATGAATTGACAATAACACTACTTTAGGCCAGAACTGCTTTGGAACTCCTCCGGTAGCTAGCAAGCTTCAAACCATGTTGAGAATGGTTATATTCTTTCTTTCACACACACCATTTTGTTGCGGTGTGTATGAAGTAGTTAACTACCTCCTTATGCCATTTGCTTCACAATATGCATCAAATTCACTTGAACAAAATTCTCCTCCTCGATCTGTTCTGAGTGTTTTAATCTTCTTATCAGCATCATTTTCAATTAAAGCCTTGAAACTTTTAAATGCTTGGAAAGCATATGATTTTTCCTACAAAAAAATACACCCTGGTCTTTTTGCTGAAATCATCTATAAAAGATATAAAATACCTTTTATTACCATTTGAAGTTGGATTGATTGGTCCACATAGGTCTGAATGAACCAATTCAAGTACAACTCGAGCTCTTTCTACTTTTCCACTAGGAAATGTATCCCATTTGATGTTTGCCAATAACACATTCTTCACAAGTTTTTGATGGAGGAGTGATTGATGGAAGGCCAGTAACCATTTGATGTAGTGTCTTCAACCCATTAAAGTTCAAATGGTCGTATCTATGATGCCACCTCCATGATAAGCCATCTTCTTTAACAAACAAGCAAGCTGACACTGTTTTGATCTTCAAAGGAAACAACCAGTTTGAAGTCATTTTTATTACAACAATGGAGCCTCTTTTTGGATTATACACCTCACATTCTCCTTTAAAGATGGTGATTTTATAACCTTTGTCTTGTAACTGTCCAGCACTCAAAATATTTGTTTTTAAATCAGGAATATAAAAATATTTGAAATGATTTCAATAAAATCATTCCTAGTTCTGATTTGAATATCCCCTTTTCCCATTACATTCATAGTTGATTTATCCCCAAAACTTACAACTGAACGAAAATCTTCATTTAAGTTTAGAAAAAAAAGACTTACACCCACTCATGTGATTGCTGCAACTGGTATCCATATACCATGTCTCTTGATTAGGCTCCTACAATGCATGAAAGGCCATCAAAAGTGTTTCTTCCTCATTCTTCTTTTCAGCAAAATTGGATTTTTCTCCATTCTCTTTTGGTAACTTTGTATAACATTCATTCTTGTAGTGACCAAAATATCCACATCTGTAACATTTGATCTTGGACTTGTCATACTGCCCCTTTACTTTTTCTTAAGAGTTGTCATCTCTCTTGGAAATGTGAGTGCTGTCCCTATTTCCACGACCACCTCTTCCATGTCCTCTTCCACTTCTTCCTCGACCTCTTCCTCTCATGCCTGAGAATTCAATAGAGGCTTTGAGAGCTGTTTGCTCGTCATTATTTTCACGATTGAGTTTTTGCTCATGAACAAGTAGGGAACTTTGAATCTCATCAATGGACATATGCTCAACATCTTTGGATTCTTCAATGGAGTAGACAACATAGTTCCACTTTGAAGTCATTGATCTCAAAATTTTCTCAACAATTTTAACGTCTTCCATGATTGCACCATGAAAGCACATATTGTTTGCAATCCCCATTGTTCTCCCAAAGAATTCGGTAACAGACTCTCCTGATTTCATTTGAAGAGTCTCAAAATCTCTTGTGAGGGCTTGAAGTTGTGCTCGCTTCACCCTGGTTGTGCTTGAATATTTCTTCTTCATTGAATCCTAGATATGCTTTGAAGTGTCTTTTTGGAGAATGGTCTCCAAAATTGAGCGATCAATTGCTTGAAACAAATAGTTCTTTGCTTTCAAATCCCTGAGCTTTCGATCTGCCAAAGCCTTGTTTTGTGCTTCAGTGAGTGTTTCTTCTGCAATTGGTTCAGTCACCCCATTCTCTACAATGTCCCAATACTCTTTGGACCGTAAAAAATTTTTCATCAACATGCTCCAATGATCATAATGACCATCAAAACGGGGAATAGCTGGTTGCACAAAACTATTGTTGTCGGACGCCATATCACCTTGCTGCTACAAGAAAATTGATGTTTTTTTTTTTAATGCAATGGCTCTGATACCAAATGTTGGTATTGAAATAGAAGATTCAAGCTGAATGGCTCGTATTAATAAAAGACAGACTTACAACTTAAATAGAGATATTCTAAACAACACAATGTTTACTAACAACATGTGTAGATTTTTAGGAACATAATCAAAACAAAGTGGTGAACATCCTCAACCACAACTCCTACAAACTAGGACATTTGACATGGTCTTTGATTTACCATGTCAATAAAACTTAATTCTTAACAGTATTAACCATACCATATTAAGGAACATAAGACCAATTTGGTATGGTTCTAACCTCCTCAACCCAATTTGATAAAAAATCACAAGAAACTCTTAGCTATGAAATCTATACCAATTTGATAGAAATTTATAACTTGATTGTACAAGTTGTACGTTCCTTGACTAACTTATAACTTATACGGTCTGATTAATACCATATAAGTTTCTAGGAAAAATAAAAAAAAAATGAGGGAGGGAGCAAGAGAAGATTGAGGGAGAACGATAGAAGAGATTGATGGAGAGAGAGAGAGAGAGAGAGAAGAGTTGATTTGGTTGTAGACCAAAGCGGAGAGAGTGGGAGAGACAGAGAATTGGAGATCGAGAGATGATTGTGAGAGTAAGAGAGTGGGAGGGAGATCAAGAGGTAGAGTGTGTGCGAGAGAAAGGGAACAAGAGAGAAAGTGAAAACTCTTTTTTTATTTTTAAATAATCCATGTTGTGTCCAACTTGGATTAAGAGTCTCATGTTGACAATAACCACATAAGTCTCCGATAACATGATGAAGGTTTTTATAATTTGAAATATACAGTCAGATGTCAGAGTCAACTCTGACTATAATTTTACCTATTACCATTACTGTTATTGTTATTAATTATTTACATATTCTATTTTTTTTGGATAAAGAAAGAACAAATTCCACAAATAAACTTTGAAATCGACCTTAAAACTGTAAATTAGGGTTGTTCATAAGAATGCCCAAGCCGACCAAACTGACCAATCCGGATCGACCCAACCCGAGTCGGTCGGGTTTTCATCCGTACCGGTCGGTTTTAGGTTGGGCACATACATAAACCAAAATCTCGGGTCGGTTTCAGTTTTCTTGTGTGAAAACCGAAACCAACCCGCCCCGAACCGAACTAGTATTCTACTAGTTTGGTAGTTCCTACTTCCTAGTTTGAGTAGTTTCCTAATTCCTACTAGTCTTCTACTTTTAGACTTCTACTAGAACTAGAACTCTAGAAGGCCCATTAGGCAATTACAATTAGAATTCAATTAGGTGTCMTTTTTTAGTTTTTTACCTAGATTAGAATTTAGAAGGTTTCTAAATTTTTATTTTATTGATTTACCTACCTAGATTTACCTAGTTTTTTACTCTAGAAGGCCCATTATTGACACTTGTTTTTACATGAAGAATTTATTGATTTTATTCTTTACCTGAATTAAATTTAGATTTATCCTGGACTCTTGAATATCAAATTATCAACTAATTCAGATTTTATTTGGCTTTGTACAGAAGCAAAACCGAAACCGACCCAACCCGACTCAAGCCGATCAGATCGGTTTGGCCTGTCAGTGGGTTGGTTTCGGTTCCCACCTTAACTAACCCGACCAGGTCGGGCCGGTTGGGAAATTCCCAAGAAACCAACCCAACCCGACCCGTGAAACCCTACTATAAATACTAGAATTAGCCCCTGGAGCTGGTATTGATAAGAACCTAAAACCAATTAAATTGAACCAAACCAACGCATTCTCAGCCAAAGAAAATGTAACATCCACGTTTCCCACCAATCTACGAGCTAAATTAATATCTCACCTGAAGGTTGTACACTTAGTACTTGTATGTTTTATTCGTGGAGAAATATTTCTAAAAGGCTGTGGTGACGGGTGAGGTGGGAGGGAGGACCAATCTTGTGGGGGAGGAAATCCGGTTTCGTCAATTGGGTAAAATAAAAATAAAAAGAAGTAGATTTCCTGCCGAGAGAAAAAGATGAAAGCTTATCGTGTGGTCATAGTCCGGGATGAATCACAAATGTATAACTCGTACCCGACGATCGTTCACGAATGTTCTATCAACTCGAATCCAAACGTGGGGAGGAAAAAGAAATAAAAGGAGTGATAAGAGTGAAGAGACGTAGATGGACATTTCCAAAGTCCAAAGTCCAATCAAAGGGGCACCAAGCCCAATCCTATTTTTCTGTAAACAAAATAAAAGAAGATAAAACGAAACAGAGGAACAAAACCCTCGACATTCAATGTCAGTCAGGAAGCGAGGGAGAGAGCGCGCGCGCCCGGGCGTCAGAGAGTTGAAGCGTGTAGATTCCGAAATCGTTCACCATCTTCGACGCTCATGAACCCAGACGAAACTGAGGACGTCCTACACGGTCACAATCACCACCTCCACCGTCAATTGATGGAGCAGCCGGAAGAATTACAACCACCACCCCCGCCAGGTCCGCCACAGGCGCACCCAGAACAATCATTCTCTCTCCCTTCGGTTCCTAGAATTATGGTTTTCCGAGACGAAGATGACGAAGACGAAGACGAAGACGAAGACGAAGACGAAGACGAGGACGAAGACGAGGACAAGGCCCCAGCTCTTCAGATGCCGACGACGCTCACCACCGTTCTACCGCTGCCGGCGCCGCTGCCACCGACGTTGTTCCTGCTAACATGCACCAACACCCCCCGACGTACATTAACCCCGAACCCCACATCTCCACCCAATTCTACACCTTCAATCGAGAGTCTCATGCCCTAATGGTCCGCTGCATTTTAGAGCGCCGCCTCGCTACGCCGGACGAGATCCGCTGCGCCACCCCTCGGCCGGTCCTCAGGAGCTGGCGCTCCGTCTGGAAGGACCGCAACGAGGACACTGCCTACCTGACGGCGTGGAAGCGCATCCAAGACAAGCTCAACGCACACGTCGACGATCAAGGCAACGAAGTCTTGTACTTCAAGAACAACTCTCAGCAGTATGTATCGCACATCAATCAGTGGCAAGATATCGTCATGAGCTTCCACGGAGACGCCGATCTCAAGCATTTAGGGCTTAAGGAGACCATCGAGCGGATCAAGCAGGTATGGACCGTCGGTGCCAAATTTTACGGGATCCCTGAATCATTTATTAGGGTTTCTGTTGCGTCCTGTCCTGTTTGCTCAGACGCGTCAGGTTCTGCTCCGAGGACTAAAAGGCGGAGATTTGAGTACACTGAGTCCTTTGATGTTCCCGCCAAGGAGGTTCCTCACCGCCTCCAGCAGTTGGCTGCGAAGCACAAGGTTGTGCTTTGTATTCGTCAGAAGTATATTAGGTACAAGCCGTTCATGGCGGAGGTTAAGGATTATGCTTGTCATCGGGCTGGGGAGCCCGCAGCTAAGAAATCAAGGATTTTGAAGAGGGAGCCTTATGCGTCCAAGCGATGTGGGTGTGGATTCCGTATTAGGGCAATTGTTCCAATTGCAAATTATAATGAGAAGGACAAGACATTTGTGTACCAGGAAGAAGGGATGGCTGTCTTCAAGCTGTATGCCGTGCACTCTGGGCACGAGCCCGGGCCATTGGATGGGAACGCGAGAATTATACATAGGGTTGTCGGGCATAAAGGTGCATTCTTAATGGATCATGATACGATTTATGGGATGAGTGATGATACTGAGACGGGTGCATTTGGTCTGATAGGTAAGGACGAGGGGGATTCACAGCTTCAAGTTTTGCACCGGGTGCAGGAACTTAAGGTTGAAGTTGGGTTGCTGGAAGGGAAAATTGCCAAAATGCCACAAGATCTATTGGGCTCATTGTGTCGACAACTTTCAGATATTTTGAATAGGCTTAGGAGTATAGGAGAGGATGCTTCTAGGCCGGTTGAATTGCTTCGTGAAAAGCAGCATTCAGATGATGTGGTGGTGGGAGACAGTGAGCTGGCACATTGGAGTGACCACCATGACGGGATATATGGTGATAGTAAGGATGCTGAGTTGCTCGAGGAAGATGAAGACAGTTTTGAGCGTACACTTGAAGATGTTGTTCCTTGGGATCGGATGCAGACAGACTGTACTAGTAGAAAGGATCTGATGAGTGATAATTGCAAATCTGATAAATGGTTGAAGGATGCATGTGGTGAGTTTGATGAGAAGAGAATCCTTGACTGTGAAGATTCTAAGTTGATCAAACCCATCAGGCATGATGGGGCAATAGTGACAGATGCTTGTCTTGTTGGTATACAGGTAGAGAGTTTCTACCCAGATAATCCTAAGTGGTATGATTCTCCTTGTGGTTTGGATTCTGGTGCAGATTGTGGTGATAGTGGATTCAGACATGGGGAAATTGTTTAGGGTCCTAGAGAATCAGGTTTATTCATCTGGCAGATTTAGAGCTCTATAAGGGACCATTTTCCCTTTCTCAACATTGGAAGTGGAGTTGTAAATTATGTATACAGAAGATTGGAACCTCCAACACATGCTTTGATGTCTTTACTGTGTGGTGGTTCTGTGAAGTATCGCAGTTGGGCTTCTATTCCCAGGGTTTCTTTGTTAACCATTTTAACCATTTTCTTGGCCTTTGAAAGTTCAAGCATGGATTCATTTATCAAAAAAAAAAAAAGTTCAAGCATGGTCTTCTGACAATGCATATAAGTGCTTTCTTTATCTGTTGTTCATTGGGGTTATTGTGATCCTAGTTACAATTATCTTGGCTTTCTACCCTTCCCAATTTCATTTTAAAGATTGGGTGTACATGGAATAATTTCTTTGGGATGCCTTGTTTATCTCTTTCTGCTTACCACATGCATCCATTGAATATGATATTGCAGGAAGATGGTATTAACATCTAAACGATCTTATAGTGTATATACTTTTTTTTCAACACTAGCTTTCATTGTTCTGCTTGTGCTAATTAATACAAAGATCATTTTACTCATGTGGCCTTTGATTAGAAAAATGGTCGAAACAATGCTTGTAAACACTTGGCCAGGGCTGTATGTTGATTTACTACCATTTTATATTGAATCCTTAGATACAATCTCTCTCTCTCTCTCTCCCTCCCCTTCTAATTTTATCTGAAATGACATGCCTCCACATTTTAAGCGATGTTAAAATTCGCACATAAATTCACTTTCTTACCTGCAATATGCAATGCCCTTGTTTTATCTTATGCATATTTCTTACAAATTCTTGTGTTTAATACCTAAAAACAAAGCAGATAAATCCTGCACTTGGAAAGAATGAGCGACTGTCCTAAAAATGAACAGGTCAAGACATCTTTGGTTCCATGAGTTACACTTACATCATGCATATAAGGCAAAAAAGGTCTGTGTAAATTTGCATTCATATCTTCTGACTATTGCATGTCCTAGAAATCAAATGAAATTTGCTTAGGGATAAAAGTTATCACTAGTTAGAATAATATATAATTGCTTGATGATATTACTTACCCCAACATGGGGAGATATGCAAGACGATGGAAAAGGAATTGTGTAATTGTACAACAATGTGGTGGTTATTGCTGATGCAAGGTGGGAATGGGACGCAAAATGTTGAAAAGGCTGTGGTGCACCAAGGTTGGGGTTGACAAAATTAGAGAATTGCAAGTAGTGGTGAATAACCATTGTTATCATTTAGTTGTGGAACTAGGGTTACACATCATAATTCAGAGCCCAATCCCAAAAAAATATTATGTGCTTTGGAGTTTGGATTTAGCATTTGACATTCTTCAACCAACTTGGGTGGCATGCAAGTATAGTTATTAAGGTCATACACTAGTTGAAAGCAATCAACTTATTCAAAGACTTTATAGCTGAGGATATCTTAAGGGGGTGGTTGGTAGTGGCAAATTCTTTGACTACAAAGATTATGGTTCAGGCTCAATGGACACCTGTAGCACAACAAAGAGTAAAATTGAACTTTTATCACTTTGATTGTGGTTTAGGCTCAATGGGAGCAATCTTTTCAATGGATAGGCCTAAAGCCCCTAAGTTGGATGTCTGTCTTCTCCATGGCCTTCTATCAAGAGTATACAAAATTCTTTCAAAGGTCTTATCAGAAAGGATAAAAAAGGTGTTACCCTTGATCATCCCTCCTTTCCAAGGCACTTTTGTAGAAGGAATGCAGATTGTGGACCAAATCTTGGTGGCCAATGAATGTGTCGCTGAAAGAATAAAGGGTAGAGAAAAAAGGGCTGGTTTGTAAAGTAGATCTAGAAAAAGCCTATGACCTGGTTAATTGGGAAGTCCTAAAAATACTAGAAATATTGGGCTTTGGAGTTAGATGCAGATCTTGGATTAAAGGATGCTTAAGTTCAGCTCATTACTTAACCCTAATCAATTGTGTAGCAAAGGACTTCTTCCCGGCTAAGAGAGGAATTAGGCAAGGAGACACCCTATCCCCATTCTTGTTTACCCTAGTGGCAGAAGTGCTAAGCAGAATGGTGGCACAAGCTGATGGTCAAGGCCTTATCAGAGGTTGGAGGGTAGGTAGAAATTAGGTGATTGTTACCCATCTCCAATTTGCAGACAACACCATCTTTTTCTGTGAAGGTAACAATGAGGAAGTGATGGAAAATTTGAAGGGGCTGGTGAATAGTTTTGTAGGAGCGACAAAGCTGAGGATAAATTGGACCAAAAGTGGAATTGTAGGGGTCAATTTGGAGGAAGGAGAACTAATAAGATTTGCTGAGATCTTGGGGTGTGAGATCAAAAGTTGGCCAATCAGTTACCTAGGTCTACCTTTAGTAGGAAACTCTAGGTCAGTTGGGTTTTGGAAATCAGTCTTAAGACAAAAGCTGGCCAATCCTGTTCTTTTGTGCTTCGAATTTGGGAATTCTTTTGTATTCTCTTTGGTTATAGGTGGGCTGCCCCTCAAGATGTGTCAGGATTCTTCAACTGTGACTTCTTAAGACAACAAAAGAAGAGAGGGTTGGTAATGTGAAAAGCAACAAAGGCAGCAATTTGTTGGGTAGTGTGGGAAGAAAGGAATAACATGATTTTCTTGGAAAAAAGCAGAACAATAGAGGAAGTGATTGATAGCATCAAGGTGGAAGTAGTTCATTGGGTAAAGTCCTTGGATAGCTTTCAAGTCTTCTCAGTCATAGACATTCTAAGAACCTGGTCTGAAGTAGCACAATCATCAAGAGTAAGAGATAAAGTAAAGTTGGACTGTTGGAGTGGAAACCACCGGAAGGCAATAAAGTGAAATTGAATTTTGATGGGAGCTCCTTTGGAAATCCGGGTCTTTCAGGAATAGGAGTATTCAGAAATTCTGAAAGGAGGATACTGGGTATGTTCTTGATACAAGGTTTAAAGCTAGCCAAATAGTTAGGATATAGGCATGTTGAGGTGGAAGGGGACTCAAAAGTAGCCATTTCTTGGGCAGCAAACAACAACCATACCCCATGGACATTTAAACATGTGATTAGGGAAGTGGATAAGATTGCAAAGGAGGTTGAGGCTGAATTTAGATGGGCCCGATGGAGTGCAAATGGGCTAGCTGATTGTTTAGCAAAATAAGAGGCATTGAGACAACAATTATTTTGGGTTGTACTGTAATGAGGGATAGAAAAGAGTGATTAAAGGGATCATCAGTCCCATCACCAAGTTGTATAAACTGTTTACAATTTGAAATTGAAATAAGGGGGGGGGGGGGGGGGGCACGCTGATAGCAGTTGTGGGAGACTCTTTAAGAGTTGAAATTATGTCCCTACTTCAATATTTGAGGTTGGCCAAGCAACGGGGGTTCCAAAACTTTGAGGTGGAGGGAGATTCTAAACTATTAATAGGATGGCTGTAGATGGAAAGCTTGGGTGTATGGACCTTTTGTTAGGGGCACTTAGGATGGTAAGTTGAGCATACAAGAAAAGACCACATGAGCCTGTAACCAACACCATTTGAGTACAACTACTATAATAGAATGTATAACAATAATACCAAGATTATGCAAGTAGGTGATCCAGTGTAATTGATTCTATAAATAATGAAAGAAGTATCGAATGGGACAAATATTTATTTTCCAAATTCTCTCTCTCTTGTTTTCCCCCTCTCTCTTTCTCTCTCCTATTAGGAGGTAGGATCCCTCGAAGAGCCCTATGCTAGGCAGAAACCTAACAAATTAGTGTTAGAGCTCAAGATGCCATGCACAGAAACATCGTCGATGGAAACTCAAATTAAGTGGAAGGAGAAACCCATTGAATCTTGGTAGACGTTAAAGAAATTAAATAAAGTTTTGCATCCTTACCGAGTCAATTAGAGTAGGTGCCGTCGATCCTAACTAGAGAAGGGAAAGAAGATATTATCAGCGACATTAGTAATTGAAGCGGATTAGGCACAAATAAGGCTACGAGGATGGAGTTTCCGGTGTTCTTAGGAGGTGATCCAACACCACGGCTCCTCCATGTGGAATGCTATTTTGATTACCACAATACACCTCACCCTTATCGTGTTTCCCTTGCCTTTGCTTACCTGGAAGAAGCAATATTGTGGTACTAGTGGTACCAACAATGACACCCAAGGGTTACATGGGCGGATTTCATACCCGGAAGAAGCAATACGGTTTGGAAAAAGCATTGGTGGGCAGCTTCGTCAGCGGCCTGGAATGCAGTTGCACTAGCTCGACCATATGAAGATAAAATGAGTCAAGCAAGGAGATTTAACAGCCCAATGGGACCTGCAATCAGACCAGGAATACTGAATCCAAAGCTTGGAGTCTTGGGTAAACCAGAACCTAGACCAGGAATCTTGCGCAAAGGAGGGAGCTTCAACTTAGGTCCAATTATGCCTGCAAAAAGAATAACCTAGGCCGAGATGCAGGTTCGCAGAGATAAAAGGCCTTTGTTATGTCTGTGGGGAAAAAATGGGCCTGGCCATCGTTGCAAGACCCAACAAGTATCAAAAAATCTCGGGTGGCAAGGAACTGATTGATGATCAAGAATGGGAATAGTGGACAAGAGAATTTCTAGAGGTATCTTTGCAAGCGTTGACTAGTTTGGCATCCTTTCAAACTATGAGAGTGACAAGGTTGGTACAAGGTTGCCCTCAACTTTGTCACAATGACAGTCTTTATAGACAGTGGCAGTACCCTCAACTTTGTCACACAAACTTTGGTGAAGCAACTAGGAATTCCAGTTCAGCCTTCCATGGCCTTTCAAGTACATGTAGCCAATGGAAGCAATCTAATGTGTGACAGTATATGTACGGGGTGAAGGCTTAAATTCCAAAGACATGAATTCAAGATAGAAATTAATGGAGCAGATGTAGTTCTTGGGATCCAATGGTTGAGGTAGTTGGGGCCAGTGATTTGCGATTTGGGCCTGCCTTACAATGGATTTTCAAGGGGGCTCAAGATATTTCAGCCCATTCCAGATCATTGACCGCATTGGGCCAGTGGCATACAAACTTGACCTCCCATCCACATCCAAATTACACTCTGTGTTTCATGTATCTTTGCTAAAAAAGGCCAAAGACTGGATCGGTCACAACACCAACCCTTCTATCATTCTCTGAGGAACTGTGGATTGCAACTGAGCCTACCCACATAACAGATTTCAGGTGGGTGCGTAAAGGTCATCATGTCGAACCAAAAGCATTGGTAGTTTGTTAAGGTCTTCCACTCGAAGATGCAACTTGGGAACCTTACTTGGATTTACAAAACTGATTTCCACACATTGACCTTGAGGGCAAGGTCTCCTTTACGGGGAGGGACTGTTAAGACGGGGGCACCTAGGATGATAAGTCGAGCATACAAGAAAAGATCACGTCAACCTATAACCAACACCACTTGAGTACAACTACTATAACAGAATGGATAACAAGAATAACAAGATTGTGCAAGTGGGTGATCCAATGTAACTGATTGTATAAATAATGAAAGAAGGATCAAAGGGGGCAGACATTCATTTTCCAAATTCTCTCTCTCTCTCTCTCTCGTTTT